ACAATTTTATCAAGAAGCAAGAGTTCAAAGTGGTAACCCTCGCCACCATAATCCCAGCGCTGGAGCAGGGTGATTGGTTTTCAGCCCTCGACCTACAAGACGCCTGTTTTTTCATGTGACAATACATCCAGCCCACAGACGCTTCCTTCGTTTCACCCTTGGCTTGACGCATTTTCAATACAGGGTACTACCCTTCGGCCTATCCACTGCCCCCTGTGTTTTTTCCAAGCTCCTGGCTGTAGTTACTGCCCACCTCAGGAAGCAAAGAGTCATAATATTTCCTTACCTGGACGACTGCCTTCTCAAAGGCAGTCGTCAACGCTCGACGAAGCGCTTCAATTCACGCAACTCACCGTCGATTGTTTCCTATCCCTCAGCCTATGAATAAACAACAACAAATCCACATTAATTCCAACCCGGCACCTGGAGTACATCGGAACATACCTCGATTCCCAGACGGGAATAGCATCTCTCCCGTCCGATCGCTTCACCATAAAGCAGCTGGCAACAAAACTTTGCAACAGTCCTCAAGTCACCACTCGAGACTGTTTGTTTACAACTACTAGGTCACATGACCTCATGCACTTTTGTGGTCCAAAATGCACGACTCTACATGAGGTGCTTCCAAGCTCAGCTGGCCATGGCTTACAGACCCAATGTGCATACCCTAAACAAACCCCTATCCATACCTTTCTGAGTCAAAAACTGTCTCCTATGGTGGACAATTCCCTCCAGCCTCTGCTCCGGAGTCCCCTTTCTCCAGGAGGCTCAATCCATCACTGATGCATCCCTCACAGGGTGGGGTCCTCACCTGTTACATCACCCAGGGGCTATGGTCTCCAACAGAAACCTCCCTGCACATAAACATCCTGGAACTTCGAGCTATAAGCAATGCCTGCCGTCACTTCCTCCCGTTTATCCGTACATGTTGGTTCTGGATTATGACAGACAACATTGCCTGCATGTTCTATGTAAACAGGCAGGGAGGAGCTCGCTCTCATTCGTTTTGCACAGAAGCTATGAAACTGGTGCCTTGCGAACAATATCCAGACATCAGCCGCCTACCTTTCTGGAGCTATGAATACCACAGTGGATGAATTAAGCAGACACTTTCCCTGGGACCACAAATGGAGATAAACGAAACGATCATCACCAACGTATTCCGCATTTGAGGCTACCCAACCATAGACCTCTTTGCAACTGCAAAAAACATGAAATGCCCCGGATTTTGCTCCAGGGCAGGACTGCGCAAACACTACCTGGGAGATGCATTTATGATTCTGTGGCACCGGAACTTACTCTGTGCTTTTCCCCTGATCCCGATTCTCCACAGAGTTCTGACAAAAAATATGAACAGATCGTGCCAAGGTGATTCTGATTGCCCCAGCATGGCCCCGACAGCCGTAGTTCCTATTCCTCACCAAGATGTCAACTCGACTACCAATCTTGTTGCCACTCATTCCGAACCTCCTTTCGCAGCAACATGGCCAATTTCTCCACCCCAACCTGTCCATGCTCCACCTCAAATCTTGGATCCTACATGGTTCTCCCAAAATGAACTAGCATGCTCTGATGAAGTTCAAAGAGTTCTCCTACATAGCAGAACACAATCTACTCGCACCACCTATCTCCAAAAGTGGAAGTGATTTACCCAATGGTGCTCAACAATGTCTCCTCTTTCTCCTATATCTGCACCTCTTCCTCTTATACTTGGCTACCTGTTAAACCTCAAACAATCTGGACTTTCTTTTAGCTCCATCAAAGTCCACCTAGCTGCTATTACAACTTTCCACAATAAATTGACAGTACCTCTGTGTTTGCTCATCCGATCACTAAACGTTTTCCCAAAGGACTTCAATCCCTATACCCAGAAGTTAGACCTCCTACCCCTCCATGGGACCTTCACTTAGTATTATCTCGCTTAACTCAACAACCATTCAAACTCCTAGCCACTTGCTCCCTCTTACACCTTTCTAAAAAACAGCATTCTTAGTGGCAATCACTTCTGCCAGACGGGCAGGAGAAATAGCAGCTCTCATGGCAGACACACCATATACCCTATTTTTTAAGAACAAAGTTAGCCTTCGATTACACCCCAAATTTCTTCAAAAGGTCCATTCATCATTCCACATCAATGAATTGATACACCTGCTGACCTGCTTTCCTAAACCACATGTGAAGTCTTTTGAATCCACAATGCATATCCTAGACGTACGCAGAGCTTTGTCCTTCTATTTTCATAGAACCAAGCCCTTTAGGAATTCTTCTAGACTCTTTGTCTCTATCGTGGAGCGATCCAGAGGTGCACTTATTTCGACCCAGAGACTTTCAAAATGGATTTCTGACTGTATCCGACTCCGTTATCAGATACGGAAAGTTATGCCTCCAGCAGACATCAGAACTCTCTCCACTAGATTGATGGCTACTTCTGTGGCTTTGCTACGCAAAGTTCCCCTGACTGACATCTATAAAGCAGCCACTTGGTCTTCTGAACACACTTTTGTTAAGCACTATTCCCTTACTCAGGGCTCCCTCTCAGACACACAATTAGGGAGAGCTGTTTTATCTACTGCATTTCTACCCAATCTGAAGTCCCTACCTCCTTGAGATACACTGCTTTTAAGTCACCTGGAGTGGATCACCCACAGGGACAGCTCTCGAAGAAGAGAAGGAGGTTACTCACCCTGTGTAGTAACTGACGTTCTTCGAGATGAGTGTCCCTGTGGGTGCTCCGCTACCCATCCTCCTCCCCCTCTACTTCAGAGTTGGGGTAGCCTCTGTTGTAGAGAAGGAACTGAGGAGACCGGTCACACATGCGTACTATTAAGGTACATTCAGAGTGGGAATGCAAGCTCTGCGCGTGTGCAACCGGTACGAGTACTGCTGTAAAAATCTCCGAGCGAAGGCGCAGGGACGCACCAACACCTGGAGTGGAGCACCCCCAGGGACACTCATCTTGAAGAACGTCAGTTACTGCACAGGGTGAGTAACCTCCTCTTTTGCACTGGTAGAACTCACTGACTTCAGTGGCATTACTCCTGCTTAACACACATGTAACTGGGCAATTGGGTCTGGTGAGTCAATATCTGGTAGATAGTTTAAAAAGGAGTTTTGGGAGAGAAAAATTGCAGGCATTGTAACCGTGAAACTTTGGGAAATTGATATGTGTGACTGAAACAAAAGTCCAGACATGACCATTTATTGTTCCTTGTGGGTTTTTTAAACATAAAGTGTTTAAAGACAAATATCTGCAACTTAAGTTATTAGTTTGCAAAAATGTGTAGACCTAATGATGCACGTTGGATACATACTAATAGTACATATTATTAGGAAAGAGTCTCTGGATATTTAGGAAAGTCTCTATCATTTTTCCATTCAGTCCTTGCAAAAATCTCCTTCATTCTCATGCATTTCAGTGGAAATGAAAGCGGTGTACCTATTTCTCTCCACATATTTGCTTATTTATAGTTTTGAAATGTTACCAAGTAGGATTAATAAATTCTGTATCTATGAAATGAAGGTTCCATTTTAGTCCCCACTCGATAAGGAATAGCCTTTGTAAAACTGAGATTTGGAAGGATATTTGTACTTCTGCATAAGTTTGCCTGGCAATGTCTGGAATATGGAATGTTTAAGCAAAAACTTTCCTATTAGATTTCAACTTTGTCCTTTGGTTTGGAGATGTTATTCTGCTGAAAGCATGAGGCGAACAGAAGAAGGTTTTTGTTTCCCTTTCTTGAATTAGTCAGCTTTGTGAAGGCTATATTACTTCCCTTTATTAGCAGAAACCAGCTGATGGTTACAAAAATGTATTTCACCCTCTGATTTCAAAGGAAAGTCTAAATTATTATCCATTTAAAAAAAAAAGTAAATCTAGAATCCATTTGTTTCTTGGATCACTTGTTTTTCAGTTGAAATCACTGGTGCCTAAATGTTTTGCCTTGTACAGTGCTGAATGTTTCCATGAACCATTTTTAAGGGCTAATCTCCTCTTCACAGTTCTGCCACTTGATCGATGTGGGCACAGTTACCTATTCCCCCGAATGTAGATGCTGTTATACCAGTGTCAAAGGGCTTATGCTGTTGCAGCTTATTCTAGTTCAGGAACTAAAATAAACTGTACTGGCATAGGTACCTATATATTAGTTTAACAGCATCCTGTAGGGTTTTTACCAGCATAACTGTTGGCAAAAAATCACACCTCTAATTGACAGAGTTACATTGTTAAAACTTTTAAGTATAGATTAGCCCGAAGATATTTTGCATTGTTTACCACGTAAAACCTACGTTTGTGACTTCTGCTGCTTTGATTTGGTATTTACCTTCTTTCTACAGCTGTGATTCAAAATCAAGGTGAGGTGATAAGACAAAGAGGGTTGTGGGTGCTCAGTCTCCCCTAGGAATAACGCCCTCACTGCACTGTATGTGCCTGTGACATAGTGAATAATATGAAAGTAAATATGGAATGCAAAAAGTCTGGGGTGAAATTCAGCCCTGTGTAGAGAGTCGACACCGGGGCTATGTGCCCTTTAAATCCAGTTTAAGCCCTATTTTGAGGTTTTATGAGGTTTTTATTGACCTTGCAGTGCCCTCTGCACTGGGGTGGGATTTTTTTTCTCCTAAGTAGATTTGCAAGTTTAATTATATTAACACTTTGTTCAGAATGAATACTATCATTGAATCTTTACACTTCTAGTTTATGTAGATGATGAATGAACACCTGTCATATGCCTCCTGTATATTATATGGCTCAGCAGTTTCAACCACTCTACCTGTTTTAAATATAACTGCGTTTAGAAAGGTGGTATCGCTTTCTGTTTTGATAATTGCTGAGTGAGTCCTAACCATGTGGTTATATTGGATTCTCAGAAATGTTGTCAGGTGAGTAATTTCCTCGGTTCATATTGTTTTATGATTTTAATCTTTTGGAAATGCTAGTCTGCATGAGCAGTACCTGTAAACTACTCTAACTTGGCTAATAATCATTGTTTCTCTCTAAGGCACTCTTTGGAACTTGTCATCCTATGAGCCCCTAAAGATGGTGATCATTAACCATGGCCTTCAGACACTGACAAATGAGGTGATTATCCCCCATTCCGGATGGGAGAGCGAGCCGAATGAGGACTCTAAGCCTCGGGATGCTGAATGGACCACGGTGTTCAAGAACACATCTGGCTGCTTGCGGTAAGATGGGAGCATGGATTGTGCTTCTGTTTATAGCATCTTAGCGTATGTTTAAAAAAGTGGTTTATTTACCCTGACTTTGAAATCAAATATCCTGCATCTCTTTTGCATAGGTGCACTTAGGAGCTCAATGTGGCAATATGGGAGGCTCTCGTTTTGCCACAGATTCTCTTGTACTAGAGCCTTGTAAGTGCTGACATTCTAGTCCCATTTGTGAGAGTGGTTGGTCATTTGTGTAAGATGGAACATTATATATATATAAATGTTAACCTTTCCCTTAGTGGGGGCAATGCTTGGTAGAACGGTGACTTCCCAAGTTATATCCCAAGAAGAAAATATGCCATTGCAAGCATAGTCATAAGTGCTAGGAATCCAGCTTTAATCAGCTGTGCTGGGATCAATAGGCTGATTCTGGTCACTTGTCAAGTCCTTTCCTTAGTTGCCCATTTGAGAGGTTTTTTTATGACAAGTTTTCTAAATGATTCAGTTCTTTGAAGCTCTTCCTGCACAAGTGGACTTTTATTGCCAACTGGTGAGGAAATGCATGATATCAGTGTTAACGCTTTTTTATTGATTTAAGCTAAATCTAGAAGACTTCTGATTCAGATTTATCTGCAAGCACCCCAGGTGAAGATATTGACTAACTTGATTTCAAATTGCAGCGAGTGAGGAGCTGTAGGATATATATTATGAACCTGTCAGAGATACACATTCAATGTAATTCATAGGTGTTAGCTTTAGATACAGTTTGCCTGCTGAGCATTTAAGAACCAGTTTCCAGTTTAAAAAAAAAAAAAAAAGACCTTTGATTAGGTGGTATTTGCATTTCTGAACTCCTCCACAACTGGACAGTGCGTGTTAGAACACAGGGTCTGAAAGAGCCCTCAGCACAGCCTGTGAAAATCTAAGGTACCGACATTCTGTATAGAGTGACTGACTTTCATTTTATATGTTTTTCCTTGAAGTTTTTGTAAATAGTCTATAAAAGATTAAACAGTGTATATACACTGTTAAATTCTTCAGTGTTATGGTGAGGTCTAATAGTTCAAACAAAACTAATAAAGATTCCGTATTGCACCTTCTGGTGCACTGAAGTGTACTTCTGTCAGATTTCTACTGATGAATATATCTTCAGAAAGTTGGTTCATTTCCGTTCCTTGGGCTTGCAGTCTCTAAATTTTACTAACTATTCCCATGAGTAACTTCATGAATGCAGAAAGTAATGAAAAGTGTTCTGAAAGGGCCCATTACTGAACTTATTTGCAGTCCCACTGAAGATGGAGGTCCTTTGAGTAGGATCCAGACATCATAATTTTTCCTTAGCAGTGCCTCACTTTCTAATGGTTTTGCAAGAGGAAATTAGTTATGGTGAGGATAAAAGGATTATCTGAATAGTATGAGATTCTCTAATGATTGCAGACAAAAAACTGATTGTTAATAGATTAACATGATCCATGTCATAAATTATCTATTAGCACCCGCAATGCTCTGGTCTGCTTGAATGTCTGCATTCCCAGTCTGTTTTTTTGCTGGTTTTTTTTTTAAAATTAAGGTGCTGCTTTTGGAGGAAAAAGAACAAAAATTTTATTTACAGGACCCAGCTTTCTTCAGCATAATGAATGTGGGCATACAGAACTAGTATCGTGTTAAAATCTGCTAGCTGCAGAATTCCACCTCACTTTTTAGATCACTAAAGTGATCCTGTTTTAAGAAATGATTTGAATTACATTGTGATGGCACTTGCTAATAAACATATGTGGTGCCTACTGCTGGAGCTGTGCATGCAAATCTATTGCAATCCTCATGTCTACAGTCTTTCTTCTGTCACTACTGGGGAGAGGGGGGCCAATATCTGTCTATCCTTTTTTTTTTAATTCAGAGAGAGCTAGTCTTCAGAGAAAGTTGAGTATGTGCTCCAGAGAATTTGTTCAGGTAAATGGGGAAAAATCTGGAACCGTTAAAGAAGGCAATTTATCAATCTTCTTGTTTTATAAAATTGGTATTGGAATGCCTAGCCATTGTGTGGAGAGAGGAGAATTGTTGTGATAATATAACCATTTTTATCCCATTGCTATTTGGAGGCATTAAAGGAGAGGCAGGATGATCCATACATAGAGCAAAGGATTGGGTGTAAGGAGATGTGGGCTCTTTCCAGGCTCTGGGGTTCCCATTCTGTATTATGTGGGTAATGATACCTATCTTCTATAAAGTGCTATGAGATCCATGTGTAAAAAGGGCTAGATAAGAACAAAGTGTTCTAATGGGTGTTTGGAAATCTGTTGGCTCTTGTGTTGAGGCAGCAGTTGGTCATAGAAATTCAATTTTTGGTGAATGGAGCTAATTACAAACTGTAACACATTTACCATTTGCAAAAATACATGATCTGATTTGTACCTTGGAGGTTAGTCCTCTTGATCGTTTGCCAAGCCCACCTTGTCTTTTCTGCAGGTGATTCTGAAAGGAACACTGCACTGCTCTCTGAATAAAGAACTGAGAAATGAGCAACTATTTGGACTGAGTTTTTAAAAGTAATTAAGATCACGTGGGCTCAGCAGTGCCAGTGCACAGCATGCGCATTACACATGCACAGCTGCTTTCATTTCAGAATTTTTCAGGAATGTTAATGAAATTTACCAACAAGTGTGGGTGGCTTTGCATCAAACTCCTTGCTTCTCTATGAGAATTGCTGCTATGTTAGTCCATGCTTTTGCTGATGTTGTTTACCTTGCACTGATCCACAGATGGAGAGGCTGGGGGATTGGTGATATTACAAGGCATATTGTGCATGCTATGTGCATTGTGTGAGGGAGGAAGGGTACTATGGTTGAATACCAGTGTTTAGAGCTAGTGTCTCAGCTGAGATAGCTACACTGTCCCTGTGATTCCAGTGCTGGAGCTGCTTTTTATTTAGGCCTCGCAGCACATGGTACCTACTTCTAAGCTTAAAAAAAAAAAAAAAAAGGCACCTTATGATTTAGTGCTAGATCTCCCATTCACCAAGCTGGCAGGAATGCTTAAATTAAGCTTGATGTTGATGTTAGCCAGGATTGCTGTAAGGAATTGTATTCAGCAATCCATTCCGTAACTGCTAAATCTAAGTCAGAGTTTAAGAAAACCCAAATGATGGTGCTAAGAAACACGGGATATGATAACTGGCAACTTGAGACCAGTGAGAACTATAATGTCCCTTTCTGTCCAGAAGCATAAATAGAGAAGCCACTTGATATTAGTTTCACCAAAATCCTGTCTCTTCCCTACCATGAGTCACACAATTTCTGAACAGCCCATAACCAGATGAAACACTACTCTGAGCTACCAGGGAATACTCAAGATCTTGAATGCCAAGTAGGGACCAGAGGAAGACAGGGCTTCCTATCAACATTTGTTGACTTTGGAAACAGGTGTTTGTTGTTTTGGGGGGCTCTTTTACATTCATGGGGCAAGTTCATATTGTTTGTATCCCAATATTAGACTGAAATATGAACAGCATCTTCCATCCATCACCCTAATCCTAGCCACTCCACCTTGACTCTATATGCAACCTGCCAACAGTTACGTTTTTGAATGACGAGAAGGAAAACCTCAGATTTCATTTTGTTAATGCAAAATTTGACAGTTACAACACTGTGGCCAGTAACTGGGGTTGCTGCATGCTGTCTATTTCACCAGGAAACTAGGTCAAATATTCATGAATTTGTGGAGATGATGCTGATTTTCAATTCTGTTTTGTTAATCTTCCTCTTGGTCCAAGGAATGATAATGGCCCCTTTCCTTGTCAAGCTTCACTTATTTGGTCAGATCCAATATCTGATTCCTGAGATAGGGGTGATCATCTGACAGATCAGAATAGTCGTAAGCCTTTTGATACTAATCGGGAAGTAGCACAAAATTTGGCAGTTCCTTTTCTCTCTCAACATGGCCACCAGGATAAGAGAGTGTTGAAAATCTGGGAATGCATGATGTGCTTAATTTTTTTCCAGGAGTGTTTTTGCTGGACTCTTGACCTTCAGAGGCTGTATCTCAAGTTTAAGGAATTTGAGTGTCACACAGGGTATATCTATATTATTAAAGTGCTGTTTGTGAATGAGTATCTCCAGCTTTCTTAAACAACATGCTTGATGATCTGAGCTGTAGAACACCGAAATAGAATACCAGCCCATTGCGAGCCTCCCTCTTTGAGCAACTTCAGCCTGATTTGCCCATAAACCAGCAAACCACTGATTTGTTTCTGTCCTTTTCCTAGCTGCAGTAAACAATGTACAGCTCTCCTCCCCCAAAAAGTTGTTCTGAAACTATTCTGATATGTGGGGCTGGAGAATTGGGACTAGGAAGGAAGAAGGGAACTTGCCAATAGAATCCGTAATAAACACAGGTGGTTCTCTTATTTCACAGGTGGCTCTCTTATTATTTGGTGTGCAAATTTGATGTCCTCAAACTGATTTATTCTTTTAGGTGTGTGGAAAAGGAGATGTCTCTTTTTTAATTACTGTCTGTCTCTTTTTATTATTTAATTCCTGCCTGGATTTTCAATCCAGAAACATTTGCTTTTAAACTATACTATAATCCAGTTTAAATTATGTTCTGACTTGATGGATCTTAAAAAGGCCATTTAGCAATCCTTCCTTCAGCTTTGACTAAGACATTAAGGCTCATTAGAGAAAGGGTACACTTAATGGAATCATTCCAGGAGAGAGATGGAATTTAGGTTACCCTGCACTCGTTAACTCAGTGCCAGAGACTTTCTGTGTTTCTCCATGTTTGTGCTGAATTGTTTCTCTTTGGCTTGTTCAGATAATACACTGTTTGCTCTTGGTCAGGAGTAGAAATGTGAGACCTTTCGGTCAGAGAGGGCTGTCACAATCAGAATTCCTTTTCATTTCCTGTACAGTTATACATCATGACTCTGAGTCTTATAGAAGCAACCAGGCTTTTAACTGCTTTAAAAAATTTAATACTGTGCTTAATTACCATTCCCCTCTATTGAATTACCATTCATTCTC